AAAGAAATATGTCTCTTGGGGCAAAAGAACACAGACAAGAAAATCTCTAAGAGAGGATAGTCAGTTGGGATACTCAGACTTCACCCTAACACTCACTTTCCATTTACCCCATACCCAAAAAAACATGTAATTGTCCCCTAATGCATAAAAAGTAAAAAGACAGGGTGGTAGGTGAAACAAACCTGAGGCTCATAATGCGAATGATCAACAAGCAGGTGGGTACGATTTCCTAGAACCCGCAACTTCTGTAGTAGGGACTCTCTCAGTGCTGACCACAATAATCTCCGCACCGCAACTGGTGCTCCTCTCAACGTCCTCAGGTCTGGAACTAGATGCCCCTGATGCCAACTCTCGAGCCCTCATCTAACGGGTCTCCTCATCAATCAACGAGGCTCTTCTCATAGCCTTAAGGTCCGTTCGCTCCTTCTTTCTCGCATGGACATACTCTCCATCAGTGGTGCAACTGGAAAAGTGCCTCTTGGCACGCTCACGTGGCTCAGGCGGTGCAATAGGGGTAGTGTATAGTGCAACAAACACTGTGTCCTACGCTAGCTCAATGGCTGCAACCTCGGGCTCATGTCCCCTCATATCAAGGATACTGTAAACATTCACCCGCAAACTCGCCACAACCTCTTGAAGAGTAGGCAAGTCAATAGTGGGGGGTGGGCGTGCAAGAACCTGTATCTTAATTGTTTCAAGGCGCTTGTGAACCACTTGAATCTTCTGCTCCATCTGCTGGGCAACCATCTTCTCCATTTGTTCCTCAACATCGACAATGGATTTCTGCATCCAAGGCTGGATATGATGTAACAAGGTGGCCATTCAGGCCTCTAACTTCTGGACTCTAGATATTGGGACCAGTGTTTCGGACGGTGGATTAGACTGAAAAGAACTGAATGCTCTACTAGTGCCATGGTCAAACTCGGCCTGGTGGACTCAATAGGCTCTTAAGTGGCAGGATCATCCCTTAGTATAACTCTACCGTATCCACTAAATTCTCACTCAGTGGCTACAACAAAACCCTAGTCCGTCTCCGAGGTGCAACCACATTGGCCTCATCACTGATGAGACCTATATCCACAGTCCCGTTCGGAGAACGGATGGCATCACAGTGCCAAATGGTCACTCCAGCATCCCCGCATAATTAGAAGATCAAACAGGTGAATGGGTTAGTAGAAGAGGTCTTAAAAGCCCTCTTATGTATCATCGAGATTAATAACTTCGCGAAGTCGATCTCCAACCCAACCACCAATGATACAACCAATACCATGTAAAAATGTTATCTGCTGCCATGGAGGATAGGAGGTCGGGGACTAACAACCATAAAAACTTGGTTGAGAAAGTGAGGTTGATCTTTCTGATAAGGCCTCTGGGGTCAAACACCCAGTCTGCTCCTCTGAAACTGTAGACACTTGACCGAAATAAGGGGATAAGGGGATCCCTCGCAGGACCAGCAGCGGATGGAAGTAGGAGAAATGTCCACCCGACAACCTCAAACTAAAACCTTTATGAGGGGGTCCTGTTTGGAAAGTTTCGCCCGCTTATTCAAAGAACCTCAAAGAGTTGCCATATATGAGGCGTAGAACTCTCTAACAACCTCCTCTCTATATGAACCCAGATTCTTAGCCATCCACTGAAGCTTGTGGCGGGTAAACAAGCTATGCACATCAGGGACTGTGTGATGACTCATTGTAAGAACTCTCTACTCGACTGTCACCAATCGAGTCATCACTATCTTGTCATTCAACAACTTTGCGTACCTATAAACCTTATACTGATCATCGACGCACCACCGGTTTGGCTCATCATGAACCGATAAAGGGACGTCATCCTGGGGTGCAAGAGCAGACTCCGAACTATAGGCCTCATCAAACAAGGCATTGAGTGCAGGAACCTATGGGTGAGTGTCTCGAAGTGATCCGGAATCGGTGGCAGTAGCCTCATTCAACCCCGTAGAGTGGGCCGACTCTAAACCTGATGCCTCTTCGAAACCAGACACTTCTTCAAAACCCAAGGATGACCTAGATGGTGTGCCGGTCAGTGTACGCTCCTTATTAGATTGGGAGGTAGTGACTACGCTGGAAGACTCCTTCTTAGTGTGCCCTGAGTGGCTCTTGAAATTGGTGTAGGTGTCCGGGTGCCTGGGGCACGTAATCAGGATCCCGCTCATCGTTAGACATTCCAATCATGAGACATGATAGTGCCACAAACTTGGTCCTTCCCCTGGAATAGACGATGTTTCGTTTGGGAGATATTTTTTTACTTGGAAAATTGTTTTTTTGTATTATAACAATCTTAATATACACATAAAACAATCAAACCAAAAATTTAACACACAAATCACAATCCTGTGCAGAAATGCAGTACTGGTTGACGAGCACTATCAACAACCCATCGATGAATTAATGGTCCATCTATAGTGTCTGTCGTTGGATACTTTAGGAAAATTTTTTGTCTTCATTCTAAAGACCTCTCAGTTGGAAACGAGGGATGTGTAGAATGGCCCGTCGATCAATCGATGAACCGTAGTCCACTTCCGTCATTTGACACTTAGAATAATTATAAGTTCTCACAAATCAGGGTTTGAGTTAGAAACAAACAACAGAGGTGCAGAATGGCTCGTCGATCAAACGACAAACCATATTCCACTTCTGTCGTCTCATATTTTAGCAAATTTTAAGGTTGATCAATCGACAGACCCCATCGACGGCCAGTCGATCAATCGACAGTCTGTAGACGGGGTCTCATGCTTTTGGTCAGAGAGAGATTTCATATCTTGTTTTTATTGGCAAATTTTAACATCTTTTAGACCCTCATATGTTTATCCAACACATGAGAACAACTAGAACACCAATTCTTCATCCTTAGGGTTTTGATTTCGCAAGGTTCAATCAAGGATTCTACGATGTTACATAACCCTAAGTCGAAAAGTTAACAATCGCAGTTTAAGAAGATTACACCACCAACAATTAACTTTCTATCATACTAAGGGACGTATTACCAACTATTTAACAAGTAAACTCATACAATTTCGTCCCTATGTCAAGACCCATAATCCAATTTTTTTATCCAATAAGAAATGAACGAGAATTCACTAAGCACGGGCATCAAAATACCTTAAAATCTTAGTGGAGTGATTAGGTAAGTGATATTTTCAACAACCTACGTGCCCTCCTTTGAACACCCACTGTAGAAATCAAGATAAAGAAATAGAGTCTTGGAAGGAGAGGGTTTTGTGAGTTTGGGAGTTTTGGAGATTCTAATGAAAAAGAAAGGGGGAGTTATGGAGATATTATGGGAAAGGAAGGAATAAGTGGAGGGAAACGGTTTGGAATGAATTTGAAATGATTTTTGGAGGTTAATGAACATTTTTCTTTTAATATAGTCGGCGCGGTCAGGTCGGGTCACTAGTTTTTTGGACTGGTGAGACCCTGTCGACGGTCCGTAAGTCAATCGACGGATCTTCGATTGCACACAGACTTAAACAAAATTTCAAGACATAAATGGGATATATGGACACCATCGACATTCCGTCTATAAACGAGCGTCCGTCAGTTTGGTCTGTAGATCTGTGCACCGGACCAATTTTTGCAGAATTCTTGGTTTTGGTCGCTGCACATTGATCACCCATTATGCTCTTCTTTTTGTGTTTTTTGACACTTTTGAGACACCGACCCTAAACTAATCTCTAGCAAACACACTTAAAAATAACGGATGAAGATGAGTAAAACAAAAATGAAACAAGAGAATGCAACTATTCCTACAAAGAAAAGAAAAACTTATTGTTGGCTACAGGATACACCTTGGGTTGCCTCCAAAGAAATGCATGAATTAACATCGCGGTACGATGCAAAATCATTGATTACTCAGACTTCATCAAGGCGATATGCCTCAACCACTTCATGTACACTCTCTGCATACCCTAGGTAGATCTTGATTCTTTGCCCATTGAGAATGAACTTTTCACCCTCCTTGTTCTCTAACTCAACTTCTTCATGCGGGAACATTTTACTAATAAGGAATGTCCCCATCCACTTGGACCTAAGTTTGCTCGGAATCAAGCATAGCCTAGAGCTAAATAGAAGCACCAAGTTGTCAACCGCAAATTCTCGCTTTCCATTCTTTTGGTCATGGTACTTCTTCATCTTCTCTTTGTAGATAGTTGAACTTTCATATGCTTTTAGGAGAAACTCATCAAGCTCATTCAACCCAATAAGCCTCTGTTCCACTGCTTCATTCCTATCCACCTACAGTTTCTTCATTAACCACATGGCTTTGTGATCTAACTCAACTAGCAAGCCATATACAAGATAGTATGGAGACATACCTATGGGGGTCTTGTATGCAGTGCAGTAGGTCCAAAGAGCATTATCAAGCCTCCTTGACCAATCCGTTCTATTAAAATTTACGATTTTCGATAGGATTTGCTTGATCTCTCGATTGGACACCTCAACTTGCCCACTAGTCTATGGATGGTACGGAGTGACCACATTGTGGGGAACCCCATATTTCTCCAATATACCTTTGAACAACTTATTGCAAAAGTGAGATCCCCCATCACTAATAATAGCCCTAGTTGTGCCAAATCTGAAGAAGATGTTCTTTTTCTAGAACGCGGTGACACTCTTCCCTTCATTCTTAGGAAATGCTATGGCTTCCACCCATTTTGACATGTAGTCCACCGCCATAAGTATATATTTCATCCCATGAGAACTCACAAATGGGCCCATAAAATCAATGCCTCATACATCAAGCAACTCAATTAATAGAATGAGATTTAAAGGGAGCTCTTGCCTTTTTGAAATTCCTCCATCTCTTTGACACCTATCACATGACTTGGCAAACTCATGAGCATCTTTGTGAATGGTTGTACAATAGTACCCACACTGCAAAATCTTGTGGGCAGTTCTGATACCACTATGATGCCGACCCAAAGGCAAGGACTGGCATGCCTCCACATTCGGCACACAACGACAAATAAGCCCAACACAACTTCGGTATTAGTAAGGCTCATCCCAAAAGAACTTTTTTACATCATTCATGAACTTCTTTCTCTGATGGAAGGACAAGTTCGATGGGACTATATCACTAGCTACATAATTCACAAAATCGGCAAACCATGGAATTATGTCTTGAGGAAGCAACCAATACTGCTCGTCAGGGATGGTATCATCAATTTCACCCTTTTCATCCAAATCTCGCATAGCTTCATCCTCCAATCTGGACAAGTGATCGACAACTTGATTTTGAGTCACTTTTCTATCTTTCACCTCAAAGTCAAACTCTTGCAATAGTAGCACCCATCTAATCAAACTTGGTTTCACATCTTTTTTTTCCACGAAATACCTCAAAGCGAGTGGTCAGTATGCACTACAACTCTCGTGACAAGCAAATTGGAGCAAAATTTTTCGAAAGCAAATACCATTGCAATGACCTTTTGTTCAGTCACAGTTTAGTTCTTTTGTGCTTCATTTTGAGACTTACTTTCAAAATAGATGGGGTGAAGTATTTTATCCCAATACTACACCAAGAGCAACCCCACTAGCATCACACATCACCTCAAATGGCTTACTCCAATCTCGGGAAATAATTATAGGCGCAGACAACAACTTTCCCTTTAAGTCTGCAAATTCCTTCAGACAAGATTTATCAAAATAGAATTTACATTCCTTCTCAAGTAATTTGCATAGAGGATGTGAAATTTTTGAGAAATCTTTAATAAACCTCCGGTAGAAACCTGCATGTCCTAGAAAACTTCTCACACTTTTTATAGAGATGGGTGGAGGAAGTCTCTCTATAACTTTAACTTTTGCTCAATCAACCTTTATCCCCTTCTCCGAGATGCAATGTCCCAATACCGTAACTTCTTTCACCATAAAGTGACATTTTTCCAAATTTAGCACAAGAGTGCAATCTTCACATCTTTTGAGAACCTCGTCCAAATGATTCAAACACTGACCAAAGGAGTCACCAATCACTGAAAAGTCATCCATAAATACCTTAACAGTTTCCTCCACCTTATTGGAGAATATTAACACCATACATCTGTGGAAAGTGGTCAGTGCATTACATAACCGAAACGACATCCTCTTGAATGCGAAGTCCATAAGGGCAAGTAAAGGTGGTCTTCTCTTGATCATCCGGGGCGATAGTGATTTGATTGTAACCCGATTAGCCATCAAGAAACAATACCATCCTTTTCCTGCGAGTCTAACATCTGGTCCATGAAGGGTATAGGAAAATGGTCCTTCTCAGTCCATGCATTCAATTTCAAGTAATCCATACAAACTCTTTATCCAGTCACTGGCCTCATTGAAACAAGCTCGTTCCTCTCATAGGGCACTACTGTCGTTCACCTTTTTTGGCACACACGTAATAGGGCATACCTAACTACTATATTTAATAGGATATATGACTCGGGCATCCAACCACTTAATGATCTCCTTCTTCACTACCTCTTGCATAGGTGGATTCAACCGTTTCTGTTGTTCAATACTTGGCTTGTGATCGGGCATGAGTTGGATTTTGTGTGAACAAATATCGGGAGAGATCCCAATAATTTTCGCAATAGTCTAAATAATAGATCATTTGAACCTATTTAACACTTCTACCAAACACTGTACTTGTTGCACATTCCAATCCGATGCAATGATTACAGGCAAAGGTATTATCTCTTCCCAAGAATACATACCTCAGATGAGGTGGTAGAGGCTTAAGCTCTAATTTAAAGACCTCCTCAATATATGGTCTCGCGGATGGAGACTCGCGATGCTTCATATCTAACTCCAATTTCTTTGGTTTGGACCGATATTCGCCTTGTTCAAGTGCCGCAACCAAAGACCCATACTCTTCAGTACCATAACTTTCAAAATTCATGATCATTGTGGCTAGTGCTTTAACACCAAGATGCTCTTCAATGTATATCTCAGATCTACTCTCAACCCTGTAGGATATAACATGTACTGTTTGGAATTCACCACTCTGCTTCTTGGACCTACAAATGTTAAATGTTGTTTCGTCATTGTTCAACCTAAACTTCATCTGCCCTTTCTCTATATCAACCAAGGTGCCACCAGTAGCAAGGAATACCTCCCAAGAATAGTATTCACCTCAAAGTCCACCTCACAATCAAGAATCACGAAATCGGTCGGCAATATAAATGACTCCTCATTTATGAGTACATCATTGAGTATCCGAATAGGCCTCTTCACTGTTTGATTGACCATCAATAACCGCATTGTAGTGGTCTTTGAGTTACTCAAACCAAATTTCTGATAAATGGAGAGAGGCATGAGATTTATGCATGCACCTAGATCACATAGTGCTTTAGCAAAGTGTAATAAGCCGATGGCACATGAAATAGTGAAAGCGCCCAAATCTTTCTTCTTCTGCACAAGAGACCTTGTAGAAATAACAGTACAATGCTGCATTCGGTCATCATCCTCAAAACTTACGATCTCTTCTTTGTAACCATATCCTTCATGAACTTGGCATAATCAGACATTTGCTCCAAATCTTCTATAAAAGGGACATTGATGAAAATATGTTTCAACATAGTGATAAAACACCGGTATTTACCATCCTTAGTCTTCTTGACCAATCTTTGAGGGAATGTCGGTGGTGGGCTAGTAATGGGGATCACTTTTTGGGGTATCTCTGCTTCTTTCACCACTTTGTCCACCAATTCACCACTAGTTTCCACTACCTCTTCATCTTTTCTCATCTCATTTTCTACCACATACGGCATAGGTGGATCAATGGTTTGCTTACCTCCTTGAGTAGTGACTTCCATGCAATGTCCATAATTTTTAGGATTTTGAATGGTATTTCTAGGAAGAGTGTCTGTTTGTCGTGGGTTCATAGTAGTAGACAATTGGTCCATTTGTAACTCAAGATGTTTAATCGATACCGCATGTGCATCCACCTTTTGCTCGATATTAGCCAAACAACCTCTCAATTCCTTGGCTTGATCATTACTAACATCAAACCTCCTACTCATCTTCTTCAACATATCTTCAACTCACACCATACTACCTCTACCATCTCTAGAAGCAACTTCCCGATTTTAAGGATGAACATAGGGCCCACTTCGATCATTTTTGTTACCATAGTTACCCCTGTTGAAGTTATTATCTCGGTTGTAGTTTCCATCTCGAATATACTGGCACTCTCTATTGTGATTCCCATAGTTCCGACCTTGATTTGCTTGACCTTGATGTTAATTCTCTTGATTGGAGTTATGGGTGGTCGGTCGCAAACCCCTCTTCTAATCATTCACTACATAAGTATCCTCTTCATAATAGTATTCATCTGCTAGCAGTGGTGGTTAAGTCAAGTAATTCATTGCATTTACCTTCTCTCTCTAGTGACATTTTTCAATACCAACTCAAGCTCAACTCTCATTTTGAGCCATCTCTTTACGAATCTTATATGTGGCCAAATTGTGTGTAGCTTGCACTGCAATGATTTTTCTCCTAGTATCCGACTTTCTAGTATCTAAGCCTTATTGTTGCGAGAGATTTTCTCCAACTTCTCTATGATCTTTGCATATGGGAACTCACCATAAGAACCACCCGTAATAGTATCAAGAACTGCCTTATTATTATTATAATCTTGTCCCCGATAGGAGTACTCTTTCAACAACTCATCATCAATGTGGTGGTTTGGGACACCTCTCACGAATGTAGTAAATCTATCCCAAGTTCTACTCACTGAATCCCCAGCTTGTGCCAAAAAGTTGTTCATTCTATCTTTGTGGTTGATCTTTTTGGACATCGGGTAGTACTGTGCTAGGAACACATCCCTCAACCGATCCCAAGTATAGATAGAATTAAAGGGCAATGCAGTAAACCATATCGTGGCCTTTCCCGTTAGTGATAGAGGGAACACTCTTAACCCGTTCACGTTTATGTCCAATTCTGGCCTCCCTGCACAACTTTTGCACACCGACCTTAGTTTGGCTATGTAATAACGTGGATCCTCAAGTGGTAGACCTGAAAAGAAGCCCCTCGCAGTGAACATCTGCATCAAACTACTAGTTACCATGAATGTGTGACCCCGTGGTAGAGGAGGTAGGACAAGAGGCCCATCAAATTCAGTGATGTTGGCGTTTCCCCTATAGAAGTCTTCAGGGTGTGGGATGAGAGGTTGCATCCTCACAGCATCATCAACTGGATTTTCAACAAGCACTTAATTATGAGCATCAACAGGTGGTGGTGGCTGACGATTCATACCATCACCAAGATTAGCTGGGTTTTGTTGATTATTCATTTTTCTAAGTGTCTGGTTAAGTTCAGGATCGAATGGAAGTGTCGGTTCTCCTCGACTCTGTTTACTTTGCATACACTAGATCTAGACCCGAGAGAAACAAAAAAAAAGTAAAATTAGGAAACTGTTGACTAAAATTCAGTCATGTTATTAAAGTTAATCTAAAATCAATATTCCACGACAGAGGTGCCAAAATTTAATATGCTCAAATTACACTTCCCTAAAGAAGTTTAAGCAGTCGTATTAAGTATTGAACCCAACTATTAGGTTGGGGACGATTCCACAAGGAAAATGTTTTAGACTTAACTTCAATATACAATTACTTCTATTTTGTCAAGTGCTTTCCCAATAAAGGGGGAGGGGGGGGTTCTGAAACAAAAGTCTTATGTTTATCATGTTTTGACAGAAACTAGGGTGTAATTGTTCCGCATAGGTTCATAACGATGTAATCCTATCAAGTTGTGAGAGAAATAGGGTGTAATTGTTCCCCATAGGTTCATAACGATGTAATCCTCGCTATAACAATTCTTCCCTAGTGTGTTGCATGCAAAGTGATAAGTTAGGTATCTCTAAATCCTTGGTCTGACATGTAGAGAATTTCACCCCATACCTTTGTCCGGCTACGTGTTTCTAAGTTACTAACTCTTACTTTTACTTCATATTAAGCAACGTATTCGATGTATGACTTAGTTATTACTTCATACCAATCAAGACTAGCCTATTAGATAGTATCCCACTAAATCTATATTGATAATTCTTTTCCTATTAACTACCTTCTTGGTCTGACAAGTAGAAAAAAGGCGAGTTCTAACGCGTGGACTCGGTACTATTTGAAAATTGTTACTAAGCTAGGTTTACTTTGGAATTACTCATGGTTCCCATAAACCTAGTTGTTGATTTAGTTACCCATTAATAGAAGAACACAATTCATAGTTGATAAACAATAAATCATGAATTTACTTTGACAAATTTAAATAAAATCCAAAAATTCAACTTGAAACCAAAAAAATCACTTGAAAACCAAATCCAAAAATTTGAATTAATGCCAAAGTTGCAAAAACAAATCTCCAAGGACAAACTAAAAAAATAGTAATAGAATCCAACCCCCAAAATGAGCTTTTACACCCTATTTGTTACAAGTATATTCCTAAAATAAAAGGAATTCAAATAAAGAAAGTTGTCCAAAAATGCGGCTTCAATCGACGACCCCCACAGACAGTCCATCGATGAAATGATGGACCGTCAACTGCCTCCGTAAGTCCAAACTTAGCATCTTTTTTTACCGTTCAACTGGCATCTTCTCTGATTCAATCGACGTACCAATAACACGGTCCGTCAATGTGTATACGATCCATCGATGCCTTCCATCGTTCCATACTTAAACTTTCTTCAACTTCAGGTACTGGGACTTTCTCTTATCTGATCGACAATTCAATAGGATGGTTCGTCAATCCTTCTATAGCCCCACACTTTGTAAGATTTCCTCGAGTTTCTCCGAATGCCTGAACTTTTAGTCGACGATCACCATCTACGGTCAGTTGATGGCCATCGTGGGTCACCACTGCACTAAATCTCAGCTACCATCTTTGTTTTGGGTTTTGGACACCTTTCCTGCAAAACAAAGATACAAATATGTTAAAACTACTATAAAGAGGCTCTAGACACACACCAATCTTAAGGAAAAAGCATTGAAACTACTGTGAAACCACGGTATCAAACACACATTCATGGATTTTGTCCCTAAAATGTACACGAAGTTAAAATTTATTACTCCCTCCTTTTAAAAAAGATCGTCCCTATTTCCTTTTTAGTTTGTTTAAAAAAGAATGACCCCTTTTCTTTTTTGGCAATAATTCAATTTTAACTTTCTACGTTGCATGTTTAAGACCACAAGATTAAAGGACACTTTGGTGTATTTGATATAACTTTAATTTAGGGACACAAGATTAAAAAATCTTTTTTTTTCTTAAACTCCATTCCAAGTCAAACTAGGTCATTCTTTTTGAAATAGAGGGAGTAATTAGTTCGTCTGATAGATTGTCATTACTAGACAACCATTCTCTTTATAGCCCCTAGGGCTAGATGCCAATTGAACCTTCTAGTTATAATTGACTTGTTTATGTTGTTTGGTCGTATCAATGACGTCAGTCCACATCGTCAAGATACCAACTGGAATTGAGAGATACCAATTAAACTAAACTCCGTACCATAAGTGACGCTTCGGACGAAAGGATTAAAAGAATGGAACGACTTCCTAGAATGCTTACTAGCCTATTGTATTTTAAAAATGTCCTCACACAAATCTACAAAAGTCTAGTTAACATTTTACTCTTGTACGGGGAGACTGATAACCTAGGCTCTGATACAAATTTGTCACGACCCAAACCACCGGGTGGTGCGGCATCTACTCTAACTCCTAAGTAGCAGAACCCTAATACACCAAAGGTTTATTCATGCGGAAATTTAGTGAAAACAAATATAATGATAAAATCTTTATAACAACTCCTTTTTTCTTTCACGAAATATATTGTACTTGAAAAGTAACTTACAACCCCAAGGATCTAGTCTAAAGTGCACAAGAGCTACTAAGAATAACGATGTATGATAATTTAAATAAAAGACACAACTCTCACCATGCGGAAAGAAAATTATAAGATTTTGGAGGAATTCTTCGTCTTCACCTAATGAAGCATCATCAATCATGCTTCCAGACTATGTCAAAAAGACATAGATAGAGTAGTATCAGTTCAATCACACGTACTGGTAGGCATCATCGGTCAACTCGATGACCACCTCATAACATAAGAAAGAATAATAGAATCATGATTGTAACACTCGCTTCTCCACCCTTTCCCCTTTTGTGTAACACCCTCAACTTACACTAATGCTCTAAATACTAACCATTTACTTTCCCAATCGCTAAAAACACTTGTAGTTATGTTAGATCATAGCCTAAACAAGCTAACCACATTAGATTATCCATATTACCACTAAAAACTTTTCCTACCACTTGATCATGTCACATTCTTGAATTATTGTCACCTTATCTATACCCAACCACATAGTTTCTTCTTATCTCAGTCGTTAACCCCATTCCATCCCCCTTGGGTACTTACCCAAGACAACACCTCAACAATTCACTTTTTTCCTAACAAGTACCCCTCATAAAATAACTAGAAATCACCCACTACTTACATAGAGACACATAGTTCCACCATACCCTTTCATTATTAGGTATACACGTAATCATTATAAGTGTATGCACATCAAAAAACAAAATGTAACATCTTTTTCCCTATAAATTTATCACAAGTAGTTGGTCCTCTCATGAAACCCAATCCCAAACTGTTATCTTAATGGAACGAGGAAATCCGATCCAAGTATGTTGAAACGTTGAAACCATTCGAAGTTAGCTTGCTAAAACGTGGCAATTTGATCCCAAGTCACACACCATAATCACAATTGTAACACATCATCAAGATCATACACATTAACATCATGATTTCACAGCTACATCATTCACCTATCTCAGTTTCAACGCACGTGATCAATATTGCAATATCCATATACATACAAGTATCACCATGACGAAAGAATATGCATACCTTACCCAATCATGAATTCACAATCATAACATACTAATTTCCCTGATTCATACCACACAAGAAGACACATTCAACCTTAATTCTTCTAAGTTTTGTCTTTAAGGTTTTAAACCTAAATTACTAAACATTCATCAACTAA